TGTTCAACACCGCTCACGATGTTCATCTCATCTGCACACATGTAAACAAATACACAAAAAACTCAGATGATGTTGAAACTTGAGCTAAAGTCTTAACTTTATAAGTTTTCATAAGTCTTATCTAAACAAAGAGACATTCTGACAATCTCTCCTTTTGTCTCCACCTTCAGCAGCTACAGGATGATCTTCATGCATTAACCAGAGTTAACTTTTTGGCAAAGAATACTCATCTTAGTTAATCTCTGTTAATTGCATTTGTGATCATGATCTAATAAAAGGGCTTAGTAAAAATGGTGAATAATATTAAGAAATTATATAAAATAAATTATTAAAAAATATGAAGACTTTAAATATAAATCAATCCTCAATTACATTTATTTTCCTAACTTTTGTGTATGAATTCCTTGGTTAGAATACTAAAATGAAAACGGTGCTCTTATTCATAAACACATGTACTCATGACTCATATAGCCAGGTGCAGAATAGATGTTAAGAAATGTAAATGAAACCATATTGTTTCTAGGCATCATTATAAACAACTAAAGTGATGCTATGAAGATAACTGCCCCACCATCCAATGATAAAATACAAAACAAAACATCTGATCTTTTGAGGAAGATAATGACAACATTGAGGGTTTGGAGACTGTAAGTGTTACTTTTGATTAATGATAGTAGCAGGGGAAATAACAATGCTTGTGGAACTTGAACCCTTTGCTGCTAATCTTAAGAATAAGAAAAACATTCCAAGAATAATGATAATATTCAAAGTAAAGGAAGAGAAACCTGTATACGTGATGGAGACAACATTATTATCACTTCCCTGACATTGGCAGATTCAGGAAATTAATTCTTTCTGTTCCATTCTTTCTTAGAAACAAACTAAACTGAATATTGCTTTCAACTGCAACAACACAAAATATCCAAGTTCTTTATTTCATTCAGAATGGAATGTATTTTAAGACCCTGAATTACTTTGTGATTGGCTCTATTATTGTGGTATAATTATGTAGAATTTTTAAATTAAGATTTTCCAGACAGGTTTCCACCTACAATAAAATTGCTGCACAATAATCACAGTGAAAAATAATTAAAAAAAGTGTTTTGTTTTTATACAATCCTCAAGAGAAGAAAACTAAAATTCAACAAACACAAGAAACATTTATAATACTTAGGTGTTTTACAAGAGCACTACAGGGGATGGGGGGGTGCTAAACATGTATCTCACATACCATTCTAGAATACCAGCATATTGGATAGAGAGATAGGCACTTCGACATAGTGTAATGGTTAGTAAGCTTGTCTTGCTAGATCAATTATAACTGAAAGCAAGGTTGATCCTCACTGGGTGCCCCATATTTCAGGCTTTGTGCCACACCTAAACTATGCTTAGAAAATTACCATATCGGGAGGAGAGAGAGATGAAAATCCTACAGGACCTTTAACATAAAAATACATTGTCTCTACATTTCTGTACAAAATCATTTATATTAAATGAAATATAATTAAAAATTATCCAGACACATTTATGAACATTATTTCAAAATGAAAAACAGTATCCAGTTTATTATATATCTCCAAATACTGAGCATTCAAATTGATAAGATTAATGTAACTTTAATATAAAGAGATAAAAATTACCTGTGACATTATATACTGATTATTAAAATATATGAAAATTTTAAGCTGAAAAATCAATGACAGAATGCATAATCCTATCTCCATAATGCTTTTGTTTAAACTATTTAATTTTTAAGCCAGATTCACAGAAATAAGTTTAAAATTCAAATCAGAAATATACAACTAATTATGCTCATCTTCAGAAACAATCCTTGCACATCAACTGGAAATGATAGGTGGATGATTTGAACAATATGGTAAGGATTTGGAGATGTATTTAGGAAAAGGTCATACAGATTCTTATGACAAGCAAAAGAAATGAATTTGGAGGAATCAAGGAGTTTAATATTTAGCTTTCATTATAATTACAATTTCTTTGACTCAGTGTTACTTTAAGCAACATTTTGGAAAAAACATTTTGATTGTTTGAACTTTAAAGATCAATATGTAAACCTAAAAGGTGTTAGAGTTAACAGAATGAAATCCATTTCTCAATGGGGTGCCCACTGTAATAAGAGTTTACAAGCTTATTTTAAAAGAGCAATTCACTAGGAGAATGGAGAAGATGTACTTTTACTTGACTTTCTGCTAGATTAAGCTTTGTAAATATTCACGCAAACATATGCATTAATGCTAGATGCAATTTTATTAGTGATTTTGTTTAGAACTAATTTGATAATCATTTGAAAATTTCAAGTGCTTTAGAAAAGAACTACCTAATTTTTATGCTTAAATTGGATACTTTGAGTTACAAAAAAAAAAAAAAAAAAAATTTTCAATATTTGAACACAAATAGACTTTAGACTAATTTTCTGTAGAGACTTTATAAAATTAACAGGTCAGGTGCAAACTGCATTTATAGAAATTTCCTATAACTACACAATTATTCAGTTAGAGACGGGGGAGGGGCCATTGATGTTTAAGAATTCAGTTTATTCAATTAATGTTGAAAAACAGTGAGAGAGATAAATAATATAGGCAAACAAGTTTTAACAAATATGAAGGGGAATAAAAATTAATGTAATAAACTTTCTTTAGCAACTAAAAAGATCACAAACTCATTTCATGCAAAAATGTCAGGAAATGCTTGTCCATTTATATATATATATATATATATATATATATATAAATATATATATATGGGCACCTTGATGTGGTTTAATGGTTACCAAGCTTGTCTCACTAGAACAACTGCAACTGAGTAGTGAGTTTGATCCTCACTGGGTGCCCCATACTTCATACTTTCAGCCTTGTGCACATCTGAGCTACGCTGGGGGAAAAAAAAACTATTTTTTTATCATATGTGTGTGGTTGGACAAAAAGTTTGATTATTAATTAGAAAATTTACTTCATTAACCAAACAAGCTTTTGAAGCCAACCCAGTGTGTGTGTGTATATATATATATATATATATATATATATGTGTGAGAGAGAGATAGAGTGTACTATTTATGAAGATAATGAAAAATACAACCCTGTACAAATAAATACTTCATAGTAATATTAGTAATTAAAAAAAAATAAAAGATGATTGATTTATAATCTAAATAGATGTGTATACAAAGAGCATGTAGTCAATTCAATTGTATACTTATAAAATCAGTAATAGCCTGGGTTACTAACTTCTACTGAACAGAATATATCAAATTTTAGCCTAGATTCTGTTATTTAGCAATATAAGTTCTAGGAATGTAAAATAAAGAGACTGAAATTTCAGAATTCTTCACACTGCTTTAAATGCTTGGCCTATTTGCATTTGGTCACACATTTGTTTAATTGAAGGACAAAATGCCAGATAAGTGAATCTGTTGTGAGGACAGAATATTTATTATAGCCGTTTGAAGATCACATCATGAGGACTGAACAAGCATTAAATTTAGACCCTTTGGTATCCTCCACAAATACCAAATCTGATTTAGTTCTAAACTTCAGCAGAATTTTTGCACTCAGCTTTTCTGTTAGTGCATTGTAGTTGCATCTCATTCACAAGGCAGTCAATTTATGTTTTGGTACTCAGAATTGCAAACAGCCAGATATACAAGGATGTGGGTGTGTGAGAATGGGTATAATGCAGAAGAACACATGCAGAGAAGTCGACAACTCATAACAAAAAGATTTTCCTTGTATTAGCAAAAAATATAAAAATAACTAAACAAATAACTAAAACAAAAAGACTGATTTTCATTTGATTCATGAACTTGAATTAATTTTTTAAATTTGCATGAAATTTTAATTAGCACTTAAAATAATATTCTTTATTAGAATAATCAAGCCATAAACTTATCCATTATGAACTGGTCTCAAAGAAGACATGCTTGAAAATACAGCTTGTATTCCCACAATGCAGTTAACATCCACTTTTATCACCAATCATCATTACTTTTTTTTTTTTTTTTAGTTTAAAAAACAAAAAATGTTTTGTTACATCTAAATGACTGAAATATCTAATTTCTTTTTAATGTATATGGAAACTATACATCAAAGTAGCTAACATAACCAAGCTGATGCAAATTATTTTCAGTGTTTGATTTGGATATTTTGAGTATATTAACCTTAGCAGTGTTGTATAATATTGATTCTTCTCAATTTGATCATTATCAACTTCAACTCATCTTGTCACCAGTGTAGCATTATTCAGTGAGGAGAATGATTCATGAAAACTTTGTAAACCAATTTTGACACATTTTCATCATTCACAATACCTTCTCTCTTGCAGAAATGATATTTTTGCATACAAGTTACATTTTCACCTTTCTTAAAATAAAAACAGATATACCGAAAAGTTTTTTTTTCATCTTCACTGTTAAAGAAAAAAAAATATGCCAATTTTGCCAATTTTTTTTTAAAATGCCCGATTTTATGACAGTTGTTATAACACAAATCAAAAGCAAAACAAAAAATTAGATAAATAGATGCTACTAATGCAATCTAACAAAGATGGCACAAATATTTTAGGCTACCCAATATCCATGTTATTAAAGAAAATGAGATTTTTATAAATCTGTAATATGCCAAACAAAAAGAGTAACAGCTAAAGAGGTTCATGATTCTACCACTTAAATCATTTTTTTTCATGGTTTACAATTAGTTGTTGAGTTTTTTTTTCCAACTTTACCTTTTCATCAGAAGAGACAAATTATATACATATAAATTTGTACTGATGTGCTGAAAGCATATGAATCTTAATGGAAAAAAAGAAAAAGGTTTCTTATGTGTGATAGAAGCCACCAGAGAAAAAAAAATGATCAAACATTTAAGCTTTTGCAGTGTTTGGCTTATGATAGTCCAGAATTGCATCAGCTGGTGTACATCACTAAATATAGTATACAAGGAAAAGGGGGAAAAAAAAAAAAAAAAAAAAGAAATAAATATCTAACTTACCATTCAGTTACACAAGGAAAGGCAAATTTTGGCACATCTTTCAGAATCCCCTGAAGAAAAAGAAACACTCATGAAAAAAAGGTTTTTTTAATATATTTTACTTTTCTATAACTAGATTAAAATTTTATATTTATGTAAAGTGAATTGCCCCCAAATTAGACAGCTACTTAATAATGTGTAATTCCTTGTATAGGCAGATCTATTCAGATACATTCCAGGACTTTCAGGTTTGATGAGGGAGTGCTGCAGAGAATTTAATGGAGACTGCAATATGTCCCAGACATACTCAATGAGATTTAAATCTGGCAAGGTCAAAGGTCAGATTTCATGTCACCTGGAAGTCATGCTTTGGAAGCGGGAGCATTTATGTTAACTTACTAGAACAAATACTTACCACTGGATAATTGTTGTGACTATAAATCAACTACACTAGGATCTGGGTGTAGCATGTTTGCCAAAACATGCCAGTTTCTCTAGGTAGTTTTCAAAAAATTCCAATAGAACACACAATGCGATTACAGAATCACTCAACTGACAGACTGGATCCATAGCTTCATGCAGTTTCCTCAGCACAAACTGAACCATCTGCCTAAATAAGATATAAACAGGATTTGTCTGACTAGGCAACACACCACCAGTATTTCACAGTCCAATGTTCTTTGGCCCAAGTGAGATGCTTTGGCATAGTGTCAAAAATGGTATTCTTGTTAGCTGACAATTACAAAATTTCATAGAATGCACTATACTATGTACAATGTATTATTGACTGATGGGCTGAGCAGTACTAGTATTGAACTAGATTCTAATTTCATGCAAAGTTCCTCTTCATTGGATAGTGACCTTCCTTGCTGGTTGGTAACAGTCTCATTCTTGTATTACCTGTAGGCAACTATTGTTTTTACATGCCACCGATATATCTTGAATTCATATATTCTAGGTATATCTTTGCTACTATTAGGAAAAGCCTAAAGCAGTTCCTTCCTAAGAGATAGAGTACTATCTTTCTGGCTGCAACAATCATTCCACAATCAGTGGAAAGTTCTGTTCTCACACCATTACTGCGACAGCAACACTACCCCATTAAACTTACTTTGTATATTATCTAGCTGAATTCATTTCTACATGTGGCAAGAGTGAGCATTGTGATTTATCGAAAACCTGCTGAAAAAAGTTTCAGCCCCCAAGGACATTCATGCTGACATGGTCGCTACATTAGAGGATGACAGTGCAAAAGTGGGTAGCTGAATTTAGGAGGAGAAGGGAGCGTCTTGAAGATGACCCAAGGTCAGGATGACTACCATCTACCAACTGCTACCACCAACAAAATTATTGATTGCGTTCACTACATGGTGATGACAGGTGATAGGCTATAAATCAAATAGCCAATGCTATTAGTATATCCCGTGAGAGAGTGAAGTAAATTCTGCAGAATTAACTTGGCACAACAAAAATTTATGCTCAGTAGGTGCCATGTCTTCTGAAACCCTTTTCATCAAAAGTGCACCAGGCTGATCAAATCTGACAATGAAGAAGATTCAGCTGGTTGCCTTGAACATTTCCTAACCTAGGATGAGAGTTGGCTTCATCTATCATCAATTTCCCAAAATGAAAAAAAAAAAAATCATGGCTGGGAACCAGTATTGCAGTGATGATGATGTCATATCTGATGTTGATTTTGGGGCCAACAGGATGGAAGCTTTACCAATGGGATCCAAACATTGTAACACTGACAGAAAAAGTGTGTGCACTGCAAAGGGGGACTATGATAAAAAAAATAAACCTCTTTGGTCACATTCTATGAGTAGATCTTAGTCAGCCTATGAACTTTTGAGATAACCTTTTCAAAATAAGTTTTCCTTTATTTGAACCAGCAAACGGTGAAAGATTTCTGCAGCAGATGGATTTTAAAAATTAAACATGCTCTTGCTAAACTCTAATTTAGGAATGTTTAATTTCTACAATGTTTTTTTTTCTTTATTATTAAACCAACCATGTACACTGCAGTCAATCTGTTGTAGTGTAGTTTCACAGTGGAGGCTTGTACTTCACTAAGTAGCTCCTAAAAAGGTTCGACGTACAAAATGTTAGGAACTTGATATAATAGGTAATAACGCAGAGAAATCTAGTGGTGGTCGTTGATACTCTTAGTGTCCGACATCTACTGGCTGACCAACTCACTGAGTGACTTCGCAACTGCTACTACTTATTATAGGTGGGAGAGTCTTAACTATAGAATAGGTGTGTTCCAGTATAACAAAATCTAAATTTGGAAGTTGCTTGTATATGATATTCTGAGTAAAGTAAAGACCAAGATAAATCCAACATGGATATATAGGTATCACCTTTGTAAAGAGCAAATTGGCCACTATTTATTTTATTTTTTTTATAGCTGCCCAGCATGATTACCTTGCATTGGCCAATTTTAAACAGTATTAGATATGATTTTGATATTGTTGAATAATTCATGAGATTTTCTTTGAACAAAGTAGTTACATCAGAATAGTTTTAATAGAGAAACAAATAAGACGTTATTCATTAGAAATGATTTCTAGTCATTTTAAAAAAATGACACGCTAGATTTTACAAAACATAAACAACAACAGTTTGAAGAGCTATAATACAAAAAAGGTTTTTTGAGTATTTACTATCACAAGTATAAAGAAATAATGCAACATTCCTTTTCTCAAATTGAAAACAAAATACATAAAATCTAAAATGGTGAGATATTTTTTCAAATTCTTACCCTAAATTACTATAACATTATATTAAATATATTTAATATTACAATAATACATATAGATTTACTGTAAAAAAAAAAAAAAAAAAAAATAAATAAATAAAAAAAAAAAAAAAAAAAAAAAAATTAGCATACTATCATGAAAAAAAAAATCCTTAAAACTTAAAGTTTTATCATCAAAATCTTTGTTATTGTTAAGAGGAAAGACCAAAGGATATTTTTATTATTAAGTAATATTTTTTTAATCCTTTTTTTTTTTCAGGTGACCATAAGTTAGTATGGGAAATTTGAGCATATTTTGTGGTGAAAAACAATTTGAAAATTCTGGCAAAAATCAGATAATTGCTGGATTTTAATGAAACTTTCAGAACTTATTCACAAATAAATGAAATTATTTTAGAAACATTTATTCAGAAAATCTTGGTAAATTTTCTATTTATATCCATTACTACCAATGTATTTAATTTTAAGAAATTCATTTTTGTAGCACTTAATTTTTTTTTTTTTAAAAACAATTATTCTTGTCAAACAGGATCCTTACTTACAGAAAATTTGCTCTGAATCCTAATATAAAAAAGCAATAAATTTAAAATTACTTAATTAGAAAAACTTTTACTTGCCTTTATGAAAAAGATATAGATATCCTTGTCTAAGAAATATTTTTGATGAATAATGAAGTTTTACAAGAAATGTTTTGATTTTTTTTTTAATTTTCATTATAATTTATAAAGTTTTAAATCTTAAAATTGTATTTAGTGATATTGTTATTAAGTAAAATCTATATTTTGCTAATCCTTAATAGAAAAGCTTACAATTCAATGACATTCATTCCAGTATTTTGAAAAGAATTTAATTTTTTTGTGCATGTTTAAACATGTTGATTTTTGTAACTGCAGATGTCCATACATGACATTATCAGGAAACAAGAGTGGTAGCTATAGTAAATTTAAAATTTATTGGTAATTTTCTAACATTTCCTCAAAAAGCCTTTTTGTAAGTAGAACTATAAAGATTTATTTTTAAAATGCATTTTAAATGATAGGCATCACATTTTGTTTTTGGAGGTACCTAATTTTATAGAAATAATGTGGATAATGTATAATGTACATGCCACACTTAATATCTGCTGACCTGACACTTGAAAATATGCGAAAGAATTAAATTCTATACAAATTCTCTGAAATAGAAACTAAGAAGAATTGCCTAATCTCTTGGGTATAGTTAAAATATAAAACCTAAAACCTATTAGAGTGCAATGCTATCATTAGGCAAAGCAATGTTTCATAAGAGCAAAACAGTCCCACCCACTGTAGATTTATGATAAAAAAAAAAAAAAAAAAAAATGCTTATTCCAAAGGTTTTCTTTTCTCATTTAACTATTACAAACAGAAAAAAAAAATTACTAGTTATCCCTATAATTTATTTTAAATTTGATACAATATTTTATGAACAACAGCCCACCCAAACATTAAGTTAAAAAGTTAATCTGGAGAGCAGTTTAAGAAAAAAAAAAAAAAATGTAGACTACAGTTCTAAAAAGCATGAAATATACAAACTATGTGCTTTCAAAATGTGATGGAACTGAAGAGTCTTTGTAAGAGCTCTCTATGATAATGAAAATGTTAATTTTATAAATACAATGCAATATAACTAGAATTATATTTTTTATAGATATAAAAAGTGCTATCAGCTTATTTTAGGTAAAAGCAGAGTAAAAGCAAACAAATTTTTAAAAATTTAATGCCTGTGCTGATCAAAGCCATCTTTCAGGAGGCTATGTTTCCAATTCCAAAAGTTTTTGTGGATGTGAAAGCTCACATTGTTGGGTGAAGTATACATGTTAAGAATGCATCAGTTTTCACAAGGCTCTAATGACTTAGGAAAACATGCATTCTTAAGATGTATATTTCACCCACTTGTCCTTTGAGAATGTTTTCTTTCATAGAGAATTCTAAATCAGAATGACAAAGATTTAGCAAGACAAAATTAATCTAGTAGTCAGCTTAAAAATATTCTTTCTGTACTGAATGGACAACAAAGTATACCATAGATTCAATAAATGATTTTAAAATCTAAAAAATAAATTTATGTTAAGAACCCAAGATAAACCATTACTATTAACACTGTGAATTCAATGACTGCTCGATTATTTTTTTGTTTTGTTTTAATTATACATGGCTACTGATTAATTTTCTTTGTTAAATTGATGCTGCTATTGATCAAAATTATCGGTAACTAGTTAAGAAAATGCATTGCAGGTATTTTTTAGTGATTATCCTTGAAATGTTTACTTTTTCAATATTGTTTGTATTG